GCCCCCCACCCCCCGCCGCCACTCCTCACCTCTCACTTTAGCTTGTATTGTTGCTAATTAATTATTGGCATGCGTATATCTTTTCCTAGGAAGTTGAGGCCAGAATCACTTGGGAGCTTTTCCATCCATAAATGTTTAGATCTCAGGAAATTCTTATTCAGTGGGCTGATGGGTGTCTCTTTTTAAGATCCCAGATGTTCCTTTGCATAGAGCAAGTGCTCAAAACAATTAATGATGGAGTCATTACAATTAAGTGGAATCCATCTGTTGCACTGTCTACTTTTGCAGACTGATAAAAATTGTGGCAGGGGCCTTGAACCTGTTTTGCTCAGTATAGGCTGAAGATAAAAAAAAATTTTTTAAGTTTTTTAATGCTAGCAATTTTTAACAAAACGGAAAAAATAGTAAAGAGACTTATACTATTATGCATTTTATTTGTGGGTTGTCAGAATGGAAGAAAAGATGAGCTTATTTTTAACAGCATAGTTGAGAGACAAGTTTTTATGTTGAAATAGATTATTTTTAAGATTTCAACATAGCAACTTGTGCATAAATGTACACAATATGCATTCTTTTTTATACATCCCCATATTGATTTTCAAGTAATAAAATGCAAGTATTCCATTTTCTTGTGCATGTCTTATCTCTCCTGTCATCAAAATGCATAAGATTGAGCTTCTTATTTTTAGCTATTTACTACCTACACTTTTTTAAAAAACAGGTTATGCAAGCACAATTTGCTCAGGACAACAACCCAGATGCACAGACCCTCCAGAAACTGGCAGAAAGGACAGGCTTGAGCAGACGTGTGATACAGGTGATTATTTTAAAGGTTAATCAAAAGATGTTAAAAGTTCTAGGTCTTTTTTTTTTTCCCCCCTTTTGGTATCTGGTTTATTTCACTTAGCATAATGTTCATCCAGGTTGTAACATGTATCAGTACTTCATTCCTTTTTATGGTTGGATAATATCCCAATGTATGTACCACATTTTATTTGTCCATGGACGAATATTTGGGTTGTTTCCACTTTTTGGCTATTATGAATAATGCTGCTATACATATCAGCACACAAGTATCTGTTTGAACGCTTGCTTTCAATTCCTTTAGAAATATACCTAGGAATGGAATTGCTGGATCATATGGTAATTCTGTGTTTAGCTTTTTTTTTAATAGATCTTTATTGGAGTATAATTACTTCACAATACTGTGTTAGTTCCTGTTGCACAACAAAGAGAATCAGCCATATGCATACACATGTCCCCATATCCCCTCCCCCTTGAGCCTCCCTTCCATCCTCCCTATCCCGCCCCTCTAGGTCATCGCAAAGCCCCAAGCCAATCTCCCTGTGCTATGCTGCTGCTTCCCACCAGCCAACTATTTTACATTCGGTAGTGTATGTATGTCGATGCTACTCTCACTTCACCCCAGCTTCGCCCTGCCACCCCACGTCTTCAAGTCCATTCTCTATGTCTACATCTGTATTCCTGCCCTGCAACTAGGTTTATCAGTACCATTTTTTTTTTTAAGATTCCATATATGCGTGTTAGCATAATGAAACAACAGACAAAGGATTAATCTCTGAAGTATACAAACAGCTCATGGAGCTCAATATCGAAAAAACGAAACAATCCAGTTATTATAGGTCTTTAAAAGTGTAAATTGTTGGGGGGGGTTTGTTTTGTTTTTTGTTGTTGTCATTGTTTTGTTTTGTGAAGAAATGTCAAAGCATTAGCTTGCCATTTTAGGTCTCTTCACACTCTAATCAATTTTTTTTTAAACCTGATAATTAGCCTGCTTGGTCTAGGCTTCCATTTGTTGACCATTCATTCATTGCTCAGAGCAACCCTAAGGATCCTCAGGCTAAAAAGACAACTGTGGTTCCAAGCTAGATCTGGTTCTGAGGCCAGAATTTTTTTCTACTTTTCTATTATTGTGTATGTGAGTGAGTGGGGGAGGGGTGGGCAAGAGGTGGGCTATCTGTGGCCTTTGTTAAAGATCCTGGTAGAGGGGGTGATATAAACAAAACTAGGGAAGGATGAGTTAGAGCAAATCTGTTGACAGATAAGATTTATGTTTGCAAATTGTGGGGGATGGAATTATTGGAGCTGAACTTGGAGAGGCTGTACATGTAGAGTTCTCTTCTGAGCAGGAAGAGATTTTAGGAAGAGATTTTATGTGATTTTAGGAAGAAAGGTCTGGTGACAGTACGTGGGAAGAATTAGAGTTGGGAGAGTCTGCGTAGAGATTGACACATGAGGTGTGATGCCCAGCAAAATAGTGATTTTTTTGAAAAGAGATTTAACTGAGGTAGTGGCCTAGAATTCATCTGAAAACGTTTTATTGACTGAACACTGATGGCAGGTACTGGATGGTAGAGAGACAAGAAAAGGACCTGGATACTGTAATGGGGAAGCAGAGAGACATCAAAGATGACTCTTAAACTTGAAGTCAAAGTATCCATGGGAATGGTGCTATTGACAGAAATATTATAGGTGTTTTTAAAAACGGGTTTGGTAGTTGGGAGGGAGATGAATTCCCTTCTAGCTGTGATAATCAGACAATGATGGTAGCAGTTGAGCACATAAACAGGTATTTTAAAGGATGAACAGGACTCAAATAGAGAGATCCAGTCCCATGAAATTGGGTAAGATCCTTTAGAAAGAGATCACGGACAATAAAAAGGGAAGAATGGACTTTATGGAGAGAGCTGTTTGAATTGGACCATTACAGTCAGAATCAAGGAATGAATCCGGTATAGAAGCATCATGGAGGGCCAAGGAGTTAGGTGGGTTCAAGATGGAAGTGGTCAACTGTGTCAAGATTTTCTACTACCTTCAGATCAGGGAAGTGGAAAATAATTTTAAATAATATTTAAGGTTTAAAAAGGTGTAAAGAATTAATAATGCTAGTGACCGTAACTATCGAGATGAAGTTCAGTGCGGAGAAAAAAGGTTAAGTGCAACACTGCACATATAATGTTTTACTTCTTAAATTGGGTGATTGGTAAACAGGTATTTATTCTTCAGTTTATTAAGCCTGAAGTATTTCGTAATTAAAAAATCATTTATACCAAGAAGTCAGTGGGAAAGACCTGATGACATTGTATCTTCTCCAAAGACCTAGATTCCCAGTGGATTTGGTTGAGTGCAGTGTAATGAGGCTCTCTGAAGAGGCAAGTCCCATGACCTCAGTATTTTTCAAATGTCCAGGGTATTGTGTTTGTTTCAGAGTGCCAAATTTTAGAAAGGGACTAACAGGGAACCAATGTGAAAAGAGTGCTCCCTTTACAGGAAGGTTAAGGTCATGAAAGTCTAGAAATTATGTGCTGGTATTAACAGCTACAGGGATATTTATCTGGAAAAAAATTCCGGAGATGGTAAGGGAAGGAATATAAACAGTATAAACAGAATAGGTGTCTTTAAACATATGTGAAAGGCTGTCCCACAGGCAGCGGGATTGGTGTCTGCAAGGAAATGTAGGAAAGAAACAGATTTCACTCACTATCAAGAATTTTCTCAGTAGGTAAGGCTACAAAATTGGCATAGGCTACCATCGAGGTAGTGAGTCCCTGTACCTGGAAGTGAAGCTTCTTTTGTTGAGGTAGTTCAAACTTAATGGTCTGAGGGGTCCTTGTAACCTAAGACTCTATACATTCAATGACAGTGACTGCGGTAGCTAAGTCAGATTCATGATTATTATGTTTTAGATTATTTTGATGTTGGAAGGAAAGGAAAACGGAGGGTTTTCTGAGAGCTTTTCTTATTATTTGAAGAAATAAGGACCGCAGACAGACATGTCATGTAATTTCCAGGTGTTTAGGTCACCAGTATTATGAGCAAGTTAACTTCATTTCAAGCACTAGAACTTGGAGAACATGCTGTTGGATGGTGGCTTTTAATATGTGAGGATTGAATTTAAATATTTTTGATAAGATGGCAAAGGAAGGAGTACTAGCAATTCAAATATATAGTCCGTCACAGTATTTTTGAAGGATTAATTACAGTGATCTCAAATAGTAGTCATATCCTCTTTGCCCAGCCTACTTCCTAGCATTGGGCACACTTTAGAAAAGTTAAAGAAAAGAGATTTGATTACTAGGCCTTGCTTCTAATATGCAAACTAGGCTACCCAAAGATTAGGTAGAAGTAATGTTCTTATACAGGGTGTAAGTACAGGTCTCACCTTTACTAGCTAAAGTCTGCATAGTGAGACATTATAACAGAGCAGATCGTCATTGAGCTGAAATCACAGAATAAAGATGGATGATTTTACTTTTCACACTCTGCATTCAGATACAATCACTGTTCACATACCCTTTCAGAGAGGTGAATTATGAATTGTGTATCTTACAGAAAATGATAAAACATTGCTATTTCTTCCAGTCAGTGTGCTCGAAGTTCTCTTTCCATATTAAGATCTACATCATTTTTATTGCTACACATATTGAGCATAGCACAATTTATTTAGTTTATTTCCAATTTTTTGCTATCATAAAAATGCTGTAGTGAACAACATTGTGTATATATCTTGCACGTTTGTTCGGTAGTGTCTGTAGGATAAATTTCTAAAAGTGGGATTGTTGAGTCAAAAGATAAAACATTTTTGGGCCTTTGACTGGTAGTACAAAAATCGCCTTGCAGAAAGTTCATAACCAATTTATTCTACCAGGACCTATGTGTGAAATTTCCCTTTCCCCAATGCACGTAAATCCTAAAAACTGTCTTTCTTTTACATCCTTTCCAATTTGGCAGAAAATGTCATTGTTTTCATGTATATTTCTTTTATTGTCAGTAAACCTTAACGTGTGCTTACTTTGAAAATAAAATTTGTATTTTTTAGTACTCTTTTCCATTGGGTTATTTCTTTTCTCTTTATCGTACTGATGTTTATTGTTTATCATAGTTAAACTTTCATAGTTCATCAGTTTCCCTTTCACTTATTTTTTCCACATAGAAATTTTACATGGTTTTGTATTCAAATCTCTTAATATTTTTTTCTCATAGCTTTGGCTCCACCTAGAGAGTATATCAACATTGGCTTTTGTTTCCTTAAACATTTATGGTCGCAATTATTTACACCTGAACCCTAATTTATCTGGAATTGACTTTTGGTTACATGTTGTAAAGTTAGGGATTTTTCTATTTCTTTTCTCCCAAACTATTAGCCAGCTTCCTCTAAATCAATATTATGCCAATACTGATTTCCCAATAATTTAAAATTCCATCTTTTTCATACATTAAATTCTCATATTTGACTCTTTGGGTTTTCTAAGAGATTCATCTTATGCATTAGTCTTTTCTTTTGCAGAATGTCTACATTGGCCTGCTTTCAGCTTATGTATTTTACAATTTAGAACTCAAATATTTTTAAAAGAGTATGTTGCTCATAAGAAATTTTAAGCCTTGTTAGACGTTTGAATGCAGAAGGAGGAAATTTTAAGTCAATGAGGAGAGTCAAAAGGACTGCATTTTATTCCTGAAGCTAGGTAGCCCTCACGTCAGAAGGTGTTTTCTGATGTCTGGAATCTTCAACTATATTTTGCTGTGCAAGTTACATGACACATTGTGTTTTCAAACCTCTCTCTGCTTAATTACCTGTTGATCTTTCCAAGGAGCTATTTGAATTAGCATTAAGGTAGTCATTCTACTGTTTATGTCATGCTTTCTTCATCTTTATTTACAAAGTCTGAGATTTTTAAAAATAACTGAACAGTTGCCATCCAATATATAATTTATTGGAGACATAAGATACTTTGAAGAAACTCTGGGAATCATAGCACCATGTGTTTTAGGTTATATGTAGTCCTCTGGGGTGCTTGTCTTCCAGGCACTGTCAGGGGAAAAGGCAGGTGACAGCAGTTCCTGCTTATAAGTTGGAGAATGTGTGAGTGTGTCTTCTTGGCTGGGTGGGTGACAGCAGTGGCACCTGTTAAGGAGCCTGTGGAGGAACTGTGACTGAAGACGTTGGGTAAAGTCTCTGTATAGGTACCTAAGAGTCTAACCAACGCCCCAGAAGATGGAGGAGAAGGCTGTGACTTCTCACTCCTTTTCCTTGATACCTGCCTAAGCTTGTTCCTGAAATATACCTCAGGTGCTACCACTCAGCCACGTGCTCAGACGCCATTGTATTGTTGGTTTCTGTTCCTTTGGTTTTAATCCGTTGAGTTTATACTTTGCAGCCTTCTGTTTGTGAGTCCCAAGGACAAGGTGTGCCTTTTGATATCAGGGCAACTTTTTCACATAAATCTTTTTTGCAGCTCCCTTCTGTTCCACATTATTTAGCCCTGATTCCCTAGTGCCATGAAGTACCTACCTACCAGCCCTAGGTAGAGACTTATGACCCTAGCCTTCTCCCCTGATCCCCAAATGTTCTTACCCTAATTTCCTTAATGTTTTTATCCCTCCACTTCTGTCTTCTTATGACAGAATTGTTCTGAGTGATAGCAAATAAATACTGTAATATTTTAATAGACAAACACTCTGTAGGCAAGTTTTATCTAAGAGCAGGGAGTTCAAATGCATGTAGCTTAGATACTGGAAGCATTCTGGGCAGTCTAGCCTTACTTTCCCTGACCTGCACGTAAAACTCTGCTTACCCAGAATATGCTTCCTTTATTTCTGTGATAGAGTGGACGACAGGCTGGTTAGCTCTCTACATTTGGTGAACTGTTTCACCAGTGGATGTGTTTGTTATTTTATTCTGCTTAAATATCACTAGTTGTTTCTTATTATAAGCCTGACCTTAACCTGCTTCTTAGAGAATAGCCTATGTATTTACTAAGAGAAATTGAACTCAGCAGGTTACAGTGTGACTGGAATAACTGAATCAAGAGGTTTGTAGAAAGCTTTAAGCTCTCAGTAGGGATTTTAGTCATTTGAAAAAAGATTTAAAATAAATCCAGCAGGTGTCTGAGAATACATTTAGTAGTGCATTTTTTAAAGTTTTCTGATGAAAGGGCTTTTTCTGTTTTCCTTTTTGTCCTAAATGCCAGTAGTAAAACCAAGGAAACTTTTCTGGAATTTTGAATCCCTTACCCCATTTTTATTTTGGAAGATGGTGGCTTAGTATAGAATCCGTTTTTAAGTAAATCAACAAATAATTATTATTTGGGCAAAGAAAATGACCATGGATAACTGTGCAAAATTGTTTCTCTTGTGTCTACAGAATTCTTTTTTAGAAAGCTTATTTAGATTTGTGCTGCGCTTATATGGTAGAGTGAGGTTGCATTCCTTGGAAAACTGAACTGGTAATGTACTCAACTGATAATGTGACATAGCTACATTGCTTTTCTCGTCCCTCAGGTGTGGTTTCAGAACTGTAGAGCACGCCACAAGAAACACGTCAGTCCTAATCACTCCTCCTCTGCCCCAGTCACAGCAGTCCCACCCTCCAGGCTGTCTCCACCCATGTTAGAAGAAATGGCTTATTCTGCCTATGTGCCCCAAGATGGGACAATGTTAACTGCGCTGCATAGTTATATGGATGGTAGGTATCCTAATATTTAACAGCTGCCTCCCAAGCAATCAATTTCTGGTACCTTCTAATAGTATATTATTGATATACTATTCACATTTTTAACTATTACCTCAGTAGGAGCTGAAAAATATTGTCGGGGGTGGGTATAGTAGGGAGAACTACCCAACATTCTTATTTCGGTGACTGCTTTTTAAGGGACAAGTTTAACACTCACCTTACGGCTAGAATACAAATATTGATAATGACTCATAGTGCTTGATTTTAACTTAGGAAAAACATTCTTTTTGTTTTAACCTGATAACTATTTAAATAATTTATTTTCCTATGGTCAGAGAAAGTATTCACACTCAGATTTTTAGATTGGGGTTTACTGAGTTTTGTTAAAGAAACTTTTTTATTGAAGCAAGACATACATAGAGAAAAGTGCACACATAAGTATTCAGCTTGATGAATTAATAAAATGAACATATCCATGTAAGTACTACCCAGATGAGGTAGAAAAACGCAGTTAGCACCCTGGAAGCCTCTCTTATGTCCCCTCCCAATCATCATCCTCTTCCTCCAAAGTAATATTGTGTTGACTTCTAAAATCATGTTCTAGTTTTGCCTGTTTTTGAGCTTTATATGAATCAAACCATGCAGAATGTATTCTTGTGTCTCACTTCCTTCAACTACAGTGTTTGTGAGATTCATCTGTATTGTTGCAAGAATCAGTGATTTGTTTGTTTTCATTGTTATACAGAATTCCACTGTAGGGATATACCACAATCCACTTTAGGGTTGATAGACATTTGCGTTATTTCCAGTTATGCATATGCTGCTATGGACCTTATTGTACATGCCTTTTGGTGCCCATTAATTCACAGTTTGATTTGGTATATACCTGGGGGTAGAACATAGGGTCCTGGCTACACATATGTTCAATTTTAGTTGATTCTGCCAAAAAGTTTCCAATAGTGGTTGAACCAGTTTACACTGAGACCAGCAGCACATGAGAGTTCAAGGTGCTTCACATCCTCGCTAACACTTGGTATGGTGTGACTTCTTAATTTAGCCAATTTAGTTGTGTAGTGTTACCTCATTATTTTCATTTGCTTTTCCCTCATCACTGATGAGACTGAGCATTTTTTCATTGGGCATTTGTATATTCTTTTTGTGAAGAGCTTATTCATGTCTTTTGCTTGTTGGTCTATTGGCTTGTCTGTTTTGTTTTTTCCTTGATTTGTTCCAGTTTTGGCTATATATTGAATATAAATAAGTTTTTTGATGATTGTATGTGTTGCAGATATCTCCTATTCAGTGGTTTGCTTTTTCTTCTCTCTTAAGAGTATGTTTTATTGAGCACAAGTTCCTAATTTTAATGTAGTTCATTTCATCAGTTTTTTTCCTTCATGGGGAGTGCTTTTCTTGTGACCTGTTCAAGAAATTGTTCCTACTCAAAGATAATGAAGATATTTCTCCTGTATTATCTTCTAGAAATTTTGTTAAATTTGTTTTACCTTTGACATTTAGATTTACAGTCCATCTACAATTGAATTTTGTATGTGGTGTAAAATAAGGAGCAAAGTTTTTGTTATGCTTATGAAAGTACCAATTTCTCAGCAGCTTTGCTGTGCCACACTTATCATAAATCAAGTGTCCATATAATTTATGTGTCAATTTCTGTACCCTCTGTTCTGTTTTATTGGTCTATTTATTTTTATATCAATACCTAATTGTTTTAATAATGCTAGGCCTATATTCTTGATATCCAGTAGTACAACCTTGTCCTACTTTGTTGTTCCTTTGTATTGCCATAAATTTTTCCACCAAAAAAGAAAACAATTGAGATTTTGATATAATCTATTGGATCCATTTGTAGGAAACTGCTATCTTAATAATATTGTCTTCCATACCATGATCTTAGTCTGTCTTTCTATTTATTTAGGTCATCTTCAAATGCTCTCTTATATTCTAGAGTTTTCTGTTTAGTAATCTTGCACATCTTTTGTTAGATTTATTCATAAGTTTTTGTTTTGATGCAGTTGTAAATGGTTTTTCCTCTGTATGTGGAAATCTATGTTGGCAGCTGTTTTCTTTCAGCACTTTGGCAGTATGAATTACACTGTCTTCTTGCTTCCATTGTTTCTGTTGTTTAGAATATAGATAATTAACTTGATACCACTTATTGTTGAACTCAGCAGTTGGTCTTATTCTTGCTCCTTTGAAAGTGAATATCTTTTTTTCCCCAGCTTTTCTCTTTATGTTTGGTTTTCAGTTTTAGTATAGTGTGCTTAAATATGCTTCCTGAATAGGTAGTTTGATGTATTTCACTGTGCAAAAGGAGCAGATTTTGTCTCTTCAAGTATGGTTTCTACCCTTATTGAAAAAGTCCATATTTTCCAGCATTTTGACCATCCATGTTCCAGTCTAGATATTCTTCTGACCTATCTTCCAGTTCACTAATTCTCTGTCTGTCTAGGCTATAAAACTCATCCACTGAGTTCTTAATTTCAGTTATTGTGTTTTCAATTTTAGAATTTCCATTTCATTCTTTTATATAGTTTCCACTTCTGTGCCAGAATTATCTATTTTATCGCTTTATTCCTTAACAAAATTGTTATATTAATTATAGTTACACTAAAGGACATATCTGACAACTCCAGTATTTTGTGGGTCTGTTCTGTTGTTTTTTCCTCTTTGTTTTCATTCAAGTCATGTCTTATTTGCCTTGTTTTTTATTGCACTTCAGATGTTAGGTATGAAAACTATAAATAATTTGAGGCTCTGGTTTATATCTTCCACCAGAGAGGATTTAGTTTTGCCTTTGGCAGACAGTTAGGTCAGAGGGAGATCTACTTAATCCAATCAGGCATCAGTCCTCACAAGGGCTGGTGTATTTCGGGGTCACTACTCCTTGGAACTAGCCTTTTGGGATCCCCCAAAAAAGCTTACATTTTGTTTTGTGTCTGTCATTTTTTTTAAAATTTTATTTTATTTATTTTTTTATACAGCAGGTTCTTATTAGTCATCCATTTTATACACATCAGTGTATACATATCAATCCCAATCTCCCAATTCATCACACCACCCCCACCACCCCCTGCTGCTTTCCCCCCTTGGTGTCCATATGTTTATTCTCTACATCTGTGTCTCAATTTCTGCCCTGCAAACTGGTCATCTGTACCATTTTTCTAGGTTCCACATATATGTGTTAATATACAATATTTGTTTTTCTCTTTCTGACTTACTTCATTCTGTATGACAGTCTCTAGATCCATCCACGTCTCTACAAATGACCCAATTTCACTCCTTTTGACGGCTGAGTAGTATTCCATTGTACATATGTACCACATCTTTATCCATTCGTCTGTCGATGGGAATTTAGGTTGCTTCCATGACCTGGCTATTGTAAATAGTGCTGCAGTGAACATTGGGGTGCATGTGTCTTTTTGAATTATGGTTTTCTCTGGGTATATGCCCAGTAGTGGGATTGCTGGGCCATATGGTAATTCTTTTTTTAGTTTTTTAAGGAACCTCCATACTGTTCTCCATAGTGGCTGTATCAATTTACATTCCCACCAACAGTGCAAGAGGGTTCCTTTTTCTCCACACCCTATCCAGCATTTGTTGTTTGTTGATTTTCAGATGATGCCCATTCTAACTGGTGTGAGGTGATGCCTCATTGTAGTTTTGATTTGCATTTCTCTAATAATTAGTGTTGTTGAGCAGCTTTTCATGTGCTTCTTGGCCATCTGTATGTCTTCTTTGGAGAAATGTCTATTTAGGTCTTCTGCCCATTTTGGGATTGGGTTGTTTGTTTTTTTAATATTGAGCTGCATGAGCTGTTTATATATTTTGGAGATTAATCCTTTGTCCATTGATTTGTTTGCAAATATTTTCTCCCATTCTGAGGGTTGTCTTTTCGCCTTGTTTATGGTTTCCTTTGCTGTGCAAAAGCTTTGAAGTTTCATTAGGTCCCGTTTGTTTATTTTTGTTTTTATTCCCATTACTCTAGGAGGTGGATCAAAACAGATTTTGCTGTGATTTATGTCAAAGAGTGTTCTTCCTATGTTTTCCTCTAAGAGTTTTATAGTGTCCGGTCTTACATTTAGGTCTCTAATCTATTTTGAGTTTATTTTTGTGTATGGTGTCAGAGAATGTTCTAATTTCATTCTTTTACATGTAGCTGTTCAATTTTCCCAGCATCACTTATTGAACAGACTGTCTTTTCTCCATTGTATATGCAATCAGGCATCAGTCCTCACAAGGGCTGGTGTATTTTGGGGTCACTACTCCTTGGAACTAGCCTTTTGGGATCCCCAGAATAGCTTACATTTTGTTTTGTTTTGTGTCTGTCATTTTTAACGAGGGCTTCTCTTCAGTGGTCCCTGATCTTTCATATTTATTCCCCACCACCCAAAGTCTAACTCCTGAAAACTTTGCTAAATGTCTCAGCCTCTCACACTCCTTTTCTTTTAAAATTGTTACTAAACTTGTGGAGGAAATGTAGCCTCATTTTATTTCTCTCCTTCTCTGGGACTTGACTTCGCAAGTTCTCACTACCTGGGTATCTTTCAGATGCCTTCAAATAGATTTCTAAAAATTTTGTCCAGCTTTCTTAATTGCTCTTAGAGGGACATTTGGTTTGAAGCAACATAGTTCTTACTGAGAGTGGGAAGTTCATTTTAAGGTTTGATTAAAGAAAAAATCAGAGCCTGTACCATTGATGCATTTACCTACACTAGGATTAAAGTTGTGTGTGTTCACATGAATGACTATAGTGTTGCCCAAGTCAAATGTGTTTTGATGTATGTTTAGGGACGAGGCAGCTCAGCATTCATAAATGAGAATTTGGGGCAGGGGCCACCCTATAGAGGCACCTTCGTATGAAAGCTAGCAACGTCTATGCAGGCAAAGCTCACGTGTTTCTAGCTGCAGGGTAAAGTGCAGTGAATGGGGTATGGATGGAGGACAATAAAGTGGCAAAAGCTTGTGACCCCAAATAAAGATTTTGGGGTAAACCATCCCTGGATTCTCATTTAATACTATACTCACTGTGCTGAATAAACTAATGCTCCTGCTGAGGTCAGTGGAATGAGTGTAGCTTGGTGCCCTCAGCTATAAAATCAGTAGTGAGAGAACATTGCCTTGGATTGTTTTTGTTTGTTTTTTAAATCAGTTTTATTTACCCTACAAAACTGATCCACAAATTTCTTTCTATTTTGTAGCTCATTCACCAACAACCCTTGGACTCCAGCCCTTGTTACCCCATTCAATGACACAACTGCCAATAAGTCATACCTAATTCCTTTTTTCAGGGATAGAAATGATTAAGGATATAAACTTGTCATTTATTATGTATAAAATGCCATTGAAAATATATTAATGTTAATTTTTTATTTAACATCCAAAGCATTTCCAACATCACTTTGCTGCCCAGGTATGTATCTCTAGTTGGCCTGCAAGACACTTTTATTGATTCTTCATTTTTTTTGTAAAACTTATGTTTACAAGAAGAAAACAAATCAAAACTTTTTTTTGTATTGTATGGAAATAGTTCACTCGAGTGTGTATCTGTTAATTTATTTGTCATCAAAAGAGCACTTTGCCTAAAAGAAAGGACTGACAAGTGTGCAAAATGTTTACAATCCTTTGTGAAATTGTAGTGTATCATTAGTTTGTATCTGTAAGTTATTGTTATAAATATTACCTGTATTTTTTGTTATATACAGCTTTATACTTTGAAGCTTGTATCTGTGAATTTGCAACTGAAATTTATTTTGCCAATGTTTTCTGAATGAACTGAATAAAGCTTCTGTTGTAGCATGCCATGCAAACACATTATTGTGTTTGTGGTTGATGAACTATGGCTGTAAATAACACTATAGTTTAATAAGCCCATCATTCTAAGTTTATTAAACATTTTCCATTCTTGTGAAAGTTTCAACCAATTAATCCTTTGTGTGTGTGTGTGTGTGTTTTCAGCAGTAAGTTGACTTTAGCCTCTTTCAAATATAACGATTCTTAATTTTATAAAGTCATTTTGTTTTGAGCTGTGTTGTGAGTACATTTTAATAGAAAACTTATTTGTAGATGATTGCACTTACTCAACAAAAGAATACATGAAAATATCTAATTTGGCAGATTGTCCCTTTTGAACTATCTAATAAAATTAATGTGAAAGAAAAGGCAGAGCACTTTTCAAAATGACCTTTTGGGGTGTCCCAAATCAGAAATGAAATGTGGGCAATAGGAATATTTTTCTTCAGGGTTGAAAACGGAGGACTAGAAATATTTGGAGTTTGTGATCAATGCTTCTAGAGCAGAGACTCTTTACTTTTTCTTCCTAGTGAACCCTCTTTAGGGATTGTGATTCTGAGAGCTGAAATCTAAACCTCAGGACTTTATCCTATGTAGCAGTGGACACTTGTCTTGGAAATACAAAAGTAAGTAGTGCCACCCTCACTAATTTTTGGGTTTAAAGAATTTAATCAGTACTCACTTCTTGTCTTTTATATACCAATCAGGGAAAAAAAAGGTAGTGAGAAAAAAATCTTAAGAATCTTAAGTTTGCATCTTTAACTTGGCAAATTCACATCTGGCTGAGGACTGGAAGTAATAGTGGAGTATTTGTAATTCTATTCTAGTAATCATAAAAGCAACCAGAAAGCAGTCACGTGGATGTCAGTAACTTAGTATCTACCTCAAACCAGAAGCAACAATCCTAAGTTTCACTATGGGAGAAAGGAGGAAATAAAGTGTTTTGTTTTTTTTAAAACTTTCTACTCCAGTTAGAATCCTTCTGGCCAAAAAACAAAAAACATAGCCAGTAGTCACTCCATCCGATCTTGTGAAATTGATGCTAATCTCCTTGTGTTTTTGTTTACCTGTCCCAGGCACAAAGTGGTGAGGTCAGCTTTACCTTTACCAGATGTGGAGGAAAGCACTTGTAGTCTAGCCAACCTCTGCACTGTTAGCAGCTTATAGCATTTCCCAGCTGCATATAATCGGCACCATTTAGCTTGGGAGGTGCTTGATTGTGAATGTTCCTCCTCCTCTCTCTCTTGTGTTTTTCCTATGCTCACCACCCTCTGAGTGTTCAGAGAAATTTTACGAACCACATCACTACCTTTTTTAGTTCCAAGGATGAATGCCCAAAGTTGAAGTAAACTTTCCATAACAGGTTCAAAGCTGTCAAAATGAATGAGACTTATATATCCAGCATATAAAGTTGTTAATAATAAAATATGATAGATAAGAAAATACTAAAAATATTTTGCATGTGATACAAATATATGACTATGTTTTCATTTCTGTTAGTGGAAGTCAGAGGTCCTAATTTATAACTTTAAATTAGGGAAAAACTGAATCACTTATATATTAGTAACACTCAGTGTAAGCATGTAGGCACAGTACTTATTTGCTTGAAATTAGGGGGTGATCAAACGACTATTGTGAGGCTTGGAGGAAGACGTTTTATTGTTGGACTAGCAAAGACCTGGGTAACAAATAAGTTATCTCTTAGGCATTCAGAGATTCATGAGCTGTATGAGGGTAAAGATAACTTTCTTGCTCCGCAATCAATTGAATTCACCAATTCAGACATTAAAAGTGAAGTCACACTAAGTCAATACCCTTAAGTGATTCTTCTTAGTAAGACAGGGTAGCTTTAACATTTAGCAGTAATTGTACATTATGCAAATGTCATTCTTAAATTCCAAATTACTTTAAATTAAAGTACATGTGTTTTGAATATTTCATAATACATATTGTTAGAATTATAGTTCATGCTGTTAAAAATTGTTATAAGCATTTGAAAACTTATAGCTGTAGTATTTCTTGACTTTGTTAATTATGTATATAATTATTCTAGTAGCTTTATGAGACTAAATGGGATCTTGGGACTGTCTTGTGGCATGAAGGACTTTACCTGTTAGTGAAAGAAATGATTCTACTTTATTATTTAGAACAGAAGTCATTTGGATTGCAATACACTAAGTACCAAAAGTATATTAGTCCAGGAAAAATTCTCCATGATCTCCATTCCAGGAGATAAAGGAACTGAAATTAGCACTATTTGATTTTGCTCTTTCGAAATACAACCAAATTTTTAGAGAAGAAATGGAACTGAATTCAAAACAAGTACACTGGGTAATGTCTAATAAATATCTGCTTGGATTCAGTCACATAGTAGAAACTATTTTATAGCCTGGTTTTTCCCTTTAATATAATAATCTTTCAAAGTGAACTACTCATCTGCAACATCATTTTAATTGATACATAGCACTACATTACTTGGAAAAAACAATTATATATGTAGATTGTTTAAAATTTTTCATTATAGTGAACATAATCTAACATTGTGAGCACTTTCAGTTTGTCCTGAGAGCCTTAAATATATTTTGTTCAATATTCACAACCAGCTCATGAAACAGTCTTTGTTACCATAACCCTTATTTTACGATTGTGGAAATTAGAAGTAGTACGTCCAGTATATCAGTGAGAAGTAACAAAGCCAGGATTTGAATCTAGCTGCAGAGTGACTCCAGATACCATCTTCTTAACTTCTGTACTTGAAGCATTCACTATATTTTAGGTAACACCATGATGAGCATTCGATAGCCTCCTTTTTATTCATATTCTTATTTCCCCACTATGAATTCTTAGAAGTGGAATAGATGTGCATGAATAGTTGTAAGACTCTTGATAGTCATTAATTGTTTCCAAAATGCTATACTGATTTACATCTCCACCAGCTGTGTTTGAGGTGTTTTCCAGAGCACTTGTCCATCTTGCCTACCAGTGGAATTAATATCGATTATTTTTCCAATATGATAGTCAAAAAGATAATTTTTAAAGCCTTATTTATTACTTGATAAGAAATTTTAATTTACATTTCAGAGATCTAGTTTCTTGTAAAAGGGGTAAAGTTAAACACAAGCAACCACTTTTATGACCTTTCTTCCTTCAGTTGTTCTGCATACACGGCTAAGTGAACATTCTTTAGCATTTGTTCAGCTGAGGTATCGTTTACTTGACATCAAATATTTTACTTTAGCACCTGGAACTCTTTATAGCATATTTTATTAGCTTTGTTGATGATTTTATTGGTATCTTTTTTTTTTTTTTTTTTTTAACAAAGCCCTTCATGCTTTTCAAATGTTTTTCTGTACATCGTGTCCCCATTCAGCAGACGAGGGAATTAAAATTTAGGGAACTTTGATTAACATAATTAGGCCTTTAGTTTTAATATGCAAGGGTTCTCCAGAGCATCAGATTATTTTTATAACTCTGTAGAGATCTCAGGAGAATAAATTTGTAAGTGGTTCCCAATTGCTTGAGTTTCATAAGCAGCTCCAAGGAAGATAGACTTTCATAGGCTGAGAGGATGTGAAACCCCCTGCAGGAAATGCCCTTCTCCCTCTCTAATTGTATCAACAGTACTTACTAAGGATCTACCAAGGATCTGTACTTGGTGGGGGCTAAGAGCAGAGTTTAGGGGTGGACCGTGGTGTGTGTGTGTGTGTGTGTGTGTGTGTGTGTGTGTGTGTGTGGTAGGGGATATCACAGGACAAAAGTAGGGAGTATGTTAAGAAGTAAGGGATAGTGAGTCCTGCGAGGGACTTGCTTTCCCATTGCATTCACAGTGTAATGTAGTAAACATTCACTGAATTCATTGATTGAATGAGGTGGGTAGGAAAATAATTAGCATAATACTCATGCTTGAGCATCCTAGAATAACTTCAAATTCCGAAAGAACTCTTCTTAAATTCTTGAAATATTCTTCCTTCAGCAAATGTTTTTTATATACCTTTTGCATTTTATATTCTTTTTACACCATTTAGCTTAAGATGTGGGACACCCGGTTTTAGCAATTTCTGACACCAGTGAACTGTAGAACAAGGACACTTAGCCTCCCTGGATGCCGGTTTCCTCAACAGTAAAAGGAAGATTTTTATGAGACTAACGTGAGATGATAAGTGGAAAAGACACGGTAAAAACATGAACTATTAATTTAGTAGGGTGGGGCTAGTAGCAGCAGATCAGGCAAACAGGCTGGGCTATTAGAGCACCAGAAGTCTGGCAAGCACTGCCCAACCCCAAGCAACCCCAGAAGGACAGTGCCCTGTCCATTTCTTTAAATAAAGTCAGAGGTGGAGCATCTATACTGGTAATGAGTTCCATGTTCTCAAATGAAGTTTTCTTCTTAACCTCAGTACAAATGGAAAACATCTTTCATTGTCCACATGAATCCCTTCTTCATCTTAGAAAGCTTTTCAGGCAAGTAGAGGTGTCACCTTCTGTGATTCGGGTAGATAAAATCTATATATAATTTATCTTGCAGAGGTGATGTGAATGTTTCCAAAAATAGTTTTTAAATCTAAAGGAATGATGATGCTATATGTGAAAATGGAAATCATTGCTACAAATTCAATTTCAGAATATGTAATTCCTGGAACAAGGGTAAAGTCTCTAGAGAACCACTACTAGTTATTAGCTCATTTCTTTGAGATGCACTGGAATAAGTCTGTTACTTTGCCAGCATGGTTCTGAACCACAAAATTTCATCTTTGGTTGAAACTCCTCCAAGTGAGACCATGTGCAATTCTTAGTTAATCATTTATCTTTCGGAACATGATCTGGTGCTTTTCATGCCAATGATAAAAACATGTCTCAGGAGTCTTGGTGGGCAAAGCTGGCTTCACAGACTCCTTAGCAGAGCATGGCACTTGTAGGAGATCAGCAATGGAAGGAAGGTGAGAGAGGCATCAGGAAAATTCTAACCAAGACATAGATCCCACCCTCCGATGGGCTTGTATTCCTGTTAGGATGGAAGGAAGGAGACTGTGGTGAAACTAAGTGGAGGGATCCCGAGTCTGCCAGGAATTCATGGGTTCTGAGGAGCATCCTGAGCTCACACAAGGCAGGGGACAAGGTGCCAGGCAG